TTACACCGAGTCGACACGAATCGAGCTGCTTTCGATCCGGAATGCTATCCCATTAACGTTAAGACCTCACCGTTCAACGCGAGTTACAGAGACTCGAACCACCATTCTCGAGAACGCGATTACTCCTTCTTCTCGGCTAAACAAACGCGTGCATTTTTTCTCGATCGACGAATCAACGTACATTATATTTCTAAGCTTCTTTTCACTTTTCTTCCTTCTTCTTTCCATTGTCCCTTCGTTAAATAATAATAAAAGAGCGAGAGACGATAAAAACTTTGGGTTATTGGGAGTAGAGGTTTGTACGCAGCTTTGTATTCCGTATATACTCGATATTTGTGTTGTTCGTCAGAGATAAACACATAGTTGGAGTTGGAGATCCGGGTTCTCCTCGTTTCGACGGTCAACCAAAGTTGCGCGCGCGGTATCTGATCGCAAGTCGAATAAAGCGTGGGAAATTGGGAATCCACGAATTTCGTTTCCACGATAAATTCCCACGGACGGAGATAATCGCCTCTCGATATAGCGTTATCTCGATCCATCGAGAGAGGATTGAGAGGGAAGGGTGAACAAACTGTTGGCGAGACACGAGCAAACAAATTGACGCGAAACCGGTGATTCGAGGCCGGTGCTCGTCGTCGCGAACGAACAATCTTAGCGTTTAATCATCAGTCAACCGGAGGACGCGATTAATTACAGAGACAGGGACTCGTCGCGAGCTTGTTAACCACGTCCGACTCGCACAGCGGCCAATTTTGCCACGCTGCTATCACCGTGGTATCGTTAAACTTAAACGCGAAACATTTACATTTCCGCCTCTGTTCTTCCCGAGTTACGATTCGGCATAATTGCAATTTAACGCTTGTCCTCGAAGAGAGAGAGAGAGAGTTAGCTGAGAATTCGCCACCATCTTACCATTCCAAACTTTCCGCATTTGCATCGAGACCCGATGCATCGAGCGGGGAAAACGATATTTCGTTCTTTCGTTATATTTTTCATCCCTCCTCTTTCTTTTTTCCCAAATTCCCGAGAGAATAATTAACAAAATATTATTAGCAACTCGATTCGAGAAATTTGTGGCGAAACGAATATTATTTATACGTATATATATACATATAACGTTATTCGAGTAATTTATCGATGTATCATCGACGTGTTGTTTTCCACGAATTTCCATCGCACCTATTTCCAAATTTCAAATTAATAGCGCATTTCATAGATTGATCGTTTTATTCGGGAACAAAGCGCGCTAATTAATTTCACGTTTCGTCGACGTTTCTTCGTTCGCGGCTTTCGCCCGGACTACGTATATCAATCGTCGATGTCGCGCGTTGGCCCGCCTTTCCGCAAACACCCTATTGTTAATTTATATTCCAAATTTCCATCGTGGCAAGATATAACCGTCGCTATTTATGCTAAATCATTCCCCGCCTAGAATCCCCCGCGTAGAATCCGAAATCCGTTCGCGTCGCTTAATTTAAATTGCATTGCTAATGAACGATACCCGCGCGAAATCCAAAACTCTCGCAACATCCATTTCACCCACCCGCCCCTGCTCGCGCTGAAATATGATTCGCTCTAAATCCAATCGTCCTACGGCTGTCGCGTATTCCCATTCTCCGTTATCGCCCCGTTAAAGTATAACGATCGAATGGAAGAGCGTACGTAAGACGCTTCATTTTTTTTTTCTTTTGGTCGAGGCATCGTTAAGCGCGTAACATGACGCGCGTAAGTGAGAGAAATATTTTCTACCTATCTCACTCTCTGTCTCTCTCTCTCCTGCTTTCGTTCGTGTCGCGCGTTGGCAAACAACGATGGCGCGCAATTTATTACGTATTATTGCCGTTTTTTGCGACGGCAAACTAGATTAACTCGGCGATTTATCGCGTACACTGTTGCAAAATTTACCAAGCGAAGAACGGCGTCACGTGTCCGTGACTCGCGCGAGCAAAGAAATTCGTTCGAGCAAAGTCTTGGGTCCGACCGCAAAATACAGAGTTCGTGCATCGATATTTCGCCGTTAGATTTTAATTAAAACGTCCTGTTCCGTTTTATCCGACTTCCATTTCGACCTCCCATGCATCCAATCTTTTGACTAATTACCACAGGTAATATATCGAACGCTTCTTCGTTTTCAACCGATCGAATATCCCCCGCCATTTATCAATATACAGATATTCTTTCTTTGCGGATCGACGACGAACGAATGCGTCCATTTTTTTCTTATTATCTTTTACCACTAATTTCATCGACTTTTTCCCGATCCTTCGATCGATCGCGCGCGCGATAAGTCTTGGAAAGAAAAGAAAAAACTTGCAACGGTTTTCGTTAACCGAAATCTAACCGCATTCCTCTCTGTTCGCGATGCAAAGCGACCAGGCTATCCACTCGCGCCAGCATTCCAATAAATACGGTTAACCTGTGCACTATCCGCGCGCTCCAATCTTCCTTTCCATTCTACTTACTTTAACACGTAGCACGCCTGCTGGTATCACTTTGCGGTTTTCACGCGATGCCGCGCGATTTAAGATCACAAGATTTAACCCGTGAATTTTGGACTCGGATAAATTCAACGGAACCAACGGATCTAATAATTTCACGTTTAGACGATTATCGATATACGTAGCGGATAAAAAGATTTATCCGCGTGGAAATGGGGCGAAATCGAAAAAGGCGAGTGAAAATCGAGAATATTTCGAGAATAAAATAAAGTATAAACGAAGTATAAATTAAACTAATACGTTTCGATTTTTATTCGATTAAAAATTCGATTTAAATTTCAAATTATCGTTCCTTTATGAATTATCGAGGAGAAATTTATGGATATTGTATTCAATCGTACGTACGCGTCGTCGCGCGTTCGCGTTTCCATTGTTTTCCGTAAAATGAAAATCGATGCGGAGCGAAAATAAATGAACGAAATGAGTGAAAAAAAAAAAAAAGAAAAAAGATTAAAAAGAAATCGCCATCGTATACTTTATTCTGACGATACGAGAAATTTACCGACATGGAACGTACGAATCTCTCTTTCTCTCTCTTTCTAAAATCAAACACTTTTTGCGATGTCGAGACAAGGAAAAAGACGTAAATTTAAAGGGAAATGTAATCGACGCGACCAAAGAACTGTAACGGAAAAACGAGGGATCCCTCTCGTTTTATCGATCGACGTATCGCGATACGAGCCAAATTTTTGCGGTCCAATTTATTTCCTCCGTGGATCGCACTGTTGCCAATATCGATAGAAAATTTATTATACCGATCGAAATCACGATACGTTGGTACATTTTATTATTTAAAATTGTCCATTGATATTCCTCGTGAGTTTCGTTCTCAGAGTTTTACAATTCTAAGAGCTTTGCGAACTTGCGAAACTTTTCGAAACTTCGATGCGCTGTCAACTTCCAAACACGTCGAATTCTCATAGTTTCGAGAAGTATCTAATTTATTCGAAATGTTTCGAATCTTTAAGAGGATGGAACAACGACCAGCTTATTATCGAGATGAAAATTCAAAAAGAAAATTAAAAACCCTAACAATTATATCAAAATCATATTACATGATCCAAAAAATAAACGATTCAACAAAAGTTGTGAATTTGAAACCTTCTTCGATTTTACATTGCATCGAAGAAGTAATTAAAAAAAATTCGTAAATAGAAATCGAAAAAACTTTTAAATTTTGCGTATACTTGTTTTCTTTCCAAATATACGCAATCCTTCAATTTTAGAAAAAAGTAATTTTATATCAAGTTGACGATTCAAGAATTTTATCCTCAAATTTCATCTCTTCCCTCCGTTCCCGAATTAAAAAGCATTTGTTCGATTCGTCGCTACAACTATGTACGTATCGTAAGAAAAAATTATTACAAAAATCCTTCGTATCTTTTCACGGTAAATAAATAAAGCTTGTGACGCAACGAAATACAATTCCGTCCGTAACGAAACACTATTCTCTTCTGTGGAAAAACAACGATCCATTACTTGAAATTTGGTTGGGCGTAATATAATATAAATATGGTACGATCAAATATGTTAACAAAATACATTACGCGTTATAAATTTTCAGGATTGCGCGTCGCGCTACGACGAGAAAACACGAATACCAAAAAGCCAATAATGGAGTAATCATTGGGGGATTTATGGTCGAGCATCCTCCTGTGTAAACGGACCGTCGAAAACCGTAATCAGTTTTTGCATTATCGCGCCACATGTTACTACTATGGTAACATTGTTTTTCAAATAGCCAAATAAATCTCCGCCAATTGTTTCCTATTGCGGAAAAACGAGTTTAATAATCTTTCCCGGTAATTTCATGCCGGTTTCCGAAATCGAATTAAACTTCGTTGAAAATTGACGCGAAAGGTGATCCGTTTTCACGCAAGATAATGATTCTTTCCGTTTTACGAAAAAATAAAAAAAAAAATAATAAATCTGCATTTCAATTAAAGAGAAAAGATTAAATTGGACAAACATTACTGGAAGGACAGAGACTGATAAAGAAAATACAGTTGGCTGGCTGGGTTATTCAATTTCTTTCCAGATCTTCTTATCTCGAATCAAGATCCAAGAAGTCCGTCTAATTATATTATTTGTAATTATTTGTCAAATAGAGAAGCTTGAAACTCGAAGCTTGTGAATTTGTCGTTCATTTTAATGAATAATACTCGGCAAACTTCTGTTTAAAATCGCACAAGCCCCATGAATTTTCAACAAAATCCTCCCCTCCCCGAACTTTTCTCGCAACATTCTTTCACCGCCAACTTTTCAAATTGTAGATCAAAGTTCAATGTTTGAAAGGGAAATGAAATTTCCCGCGTTAAGAAAATAGTCTTTTCAACTTTTACGACGAATTCGTTGTTCGTTGTTCACCGCGTTATACGACCTTTACTAATTTCCTTCTCGATTCGTATCACCGTATATCTTTTTTCCATTTTCCAAACAGTTACTTTCATTCTCATAGCACGAGAAGACGGAAGATAAAATTTCCCTTCGATTCGAAGAAAGAAGAAGAGAAAGAGAGAAGATGGTTTCTTCCATCTTCGTAAACTCACGGCGCGTGTTTCACAAGAAGCCCATTTAACCGGAAACGATACAAATATTCCATCCCCCGAACGAGACGAAATTCGACAAAGTAAAGAGGCGAGCGAGTGCCACGCCCGTACGTGGACCAAAAAGTTGAGGGAACGTGACCAATTGGCATGCTTAAACACACACGTGATAACGGCGGACGAACATTATGCGATTGCGAATTGCAGGTATTGTTGCGATGCCGGCCAAGAAATCGAATACGCGGTATCGCGATGGACCGATATAAATTTGGAACCGAGAATCGTAAACCGTGCCAAGGAGGGTAGGGGAAGCGTCGGTGGCGCTGGTATTACGCCGTTTCAACCCTCGTAAAAAGATTTCTGACCGTCTTCTCCCCCCCCCACCCGATTCGCGTTTGGAATCTCTCGGCCGGATAATCGTGCAAGAATCGCGCTACAGAAATACCGATTTTGCCTTCCAATTCGTTTTTTTCGTTTCTTTCGAGAGTTTTCCGTGTCTGTATCGTACATAGATTCTTTCTTCTTCTTCTTCTTCTTCATTTTTTTCTTTTTCTTTTTATTATTATTATTATTACTATTATTATTTATTAACGATGTTAGAGTTTCAGCTGTGCCATTTAAATTTACAAGTCTTTAACTGGAGAGGTAGTGGAAAGTTTTATAGAATAAAGTAGCTTATGTATCGCTTTTAAATGCAAAGCGAGCTTTTTCCCTAATTTATGAAGGAAGAAACTTCGCTCGCGGAACTATTGTAGTATTCATAACCTCGGCTAAAATTTTCGTAATAGCTTTCTAATATATTCCGCCAACCCTTCGAACATCGTTTTATCTTTCGAACTTGAAAGGACAGCATTATGATCAATCTCTCGTATAAAATTTCCATCGAGAGAAGGGCGCGATATCGAAATCCACGGATCTTTATATTTTACATTTTCGAGAAAGTCTCGATTCACTTTGCCAAACATTAACGAGGCTATCGATTTTCAAACTCAACATCACCGATACCACCAAAATCTTTAATCGTCTTCGAAGAAACGTATCTACTTTCCTGATTTCCAGACGAAATTATATAAAATATATTTTCTCCTCATTTTCGCTACGAATACGCCCTTATTTTCTATCCGAAAGAAAAGAAAATTTCGAAATTTATCGCGACTCTTATTTTTATATATGAATTCCCAACAGATTCGATATCGAACGAACACGTATTTTTTGAACACGTAGATCGAATTTTAACCTAGATCCATTAAAAGTGGATCGAAAGCATGCGGAGAAATAATATCGAAGAATGTACTCATACCGGAATTGGGCTGGCCGTTGCTGTTGGGCCTAGCGGAAGGTGCGCCGTCCCTGGCCTCCACTTCCAACGCGTACGCTCCTTGCTTCTCTCGATCGAACATCACCTTCGTGAAGATCTCCCCGGTCTCCCGATTAATCTCGAAGTAATCCTTCCCTTCGTTTCTGTCGCTGTCCACCACGTAATAAGTGACCTGAAACCAGATTATCCACTGTTGTATATTACCGTTTCGATAATAAGAGTTCGTTTCCTTCTCAACAATTTGTGACACGCGTATCGCGTTACCTCGAACGAAATAAATTATTTTTCTCTCCGTTTCTTTAAACTTTTATTCGTGTATATAGGATTTCCACGTTGGAAAACGAAATTAAGTAGTAGACAGATGGTGAAAATAGTTAGAGTTATATGATTTATCAAGATTGAGAAGAGTTATATGATTTGTCACAGGTGGACGTACGTGAGTGGAATACGCTGACCCATATATACGAGTCAGACGAACACGTGTTGTTGAACGTGAAATTGTATAATTTCGAAATTGTTGGAGGACGAAGAAGAAAAAAATATTATTCCTTTTCCTCCAAAGCTACGTAAAATATAAAAGTGATGGGATGAATATTTTATCGATCTAAAAATCGATAAAAATTCTCAAAGTGAAAACGAACGTTATAATCATAATTTATCTCAGAGTATCTCCAATAAATTCGATCTCTGAATTAATAATTTTCGAGTGAAACCGCTCCGTATTCCGCGTACGTTGTTTCGTTATACGTTCGTTTTAATTTCGGAACGAGAAGTAACTTTGAATATTCGCGACATTTCTCGGGATTTCAACGGAAAGAAAAAAAAAAAAGAAAAGAAGAAAAAAAGAAAGAATCGTTCTCTACAGACTCTCGTAGATTTTGCGTTTAAACAAAAATCCGACGAAGAACGTAGGATATACGTTACGAAAGAGAATAAGACGAAAGTAAAAAAAAAAGCAAAAGAAAACTAATATTGAGAACGAAGAAATCAGTGTGTTTGCACGAGTGCTAGATCGATAAAAACAAATGAAAAATTACAATCATTGATTCTCGTACGTTTTCAAGAAAAAGAAAGAGAAAGAAGAAAGAGTAAAGAAATTTCAAAAATTGAAATACAGAAAAAAAAAAATTGGAAGCAATGGTAATATCGGCACAAGTATCAATTAACTTGATTAAGAGGGAGATTTCAATTAATCATGAACGTAAATGATGAAATTAATTATTATATTTGTGCACGAAAAGTTTAAACAGATAATAATCCTATTTGCGCATGATCGAATGCGCAATTGTGGATTATATTTTAATTATCGAATATTTTTCCCACGAAATAAGAAAATTTTCGAAAAAATATTCTATAAATTTATAATATTAATTCTTGGATAAACGTGCGAGATACGTTTTCGTAGATCGCATTTTTTCAACGCAATTATAATTGATATCGGTATTTTATAGATATTTACGATAGAATGTTGATAAAATTTAAAATTGAAAAAAATTTTTTAATTCCCCGCGATAAATAAATACACCGTGATAAATAATAAACCAACCAAGATGTGCGTAAATACTGTTAAATGTAAAATACAAAATCCACTTTTTATTTATATACGATTTGTTAAGTTAAAGAGATTTAATACTAAAAAAAAAAAAAAAAAAAAAAAAAAAAATTAAAAATTTTTGGGGGGAAAAATTTCCCAATTAAAAAAAAAAAAAAAAAAAAAAAAAAGAAATACGATCAATTATAATATTTTCGTGGGAAAAATTTGCCTAATTACAGAAAAAACGAACGAATATGATTAGTCGTGTATCTATGAAAGGGGCGAGCAACATTCGCGCGTAACACGTTAGTACGAAACGAAACAGCGCAACATTTTAAATTATACCACGGCGGGGTTCGCGCGATTAAATTTAATTATGGTATTTTGCAGTATAACGACGTTACACGACGAAACAAAGTTACACGGTATTTCCATCACAACCGCGACTTCGACAAACACAATTTCACTGCGTGAAATTAACAAAGTTTCGGTCGGAATAATATATCCGTTTACTCGCGATCGTCGCCATAATATTTATTAGAAAGAACTCAACTACGTTATTCTGATATAGCGTTCGTTATCGTAATATAACGTACTTCGATGTACAAGAAAAAGAAGAGAAAGAGAGAGAGAGAGAGGAAAAACCGAGATCGCATCGTTTATAAGAAAATATAAAAGAAACAATCGTGTCTAAAAATATTATAAATCAAAGATTAAATTTATTATATTTCTCGCATAAAATTTTCCCAAAGCATCGATCATTCCAGTTTGAATAACAATTTTTTTTATTACTTTATTATTGTAATTAAAGCAGCGTTGCCAAAAGTAAAATACGATTCCTTCCAAACTTCCTTCGAACTGACGACATTGAATGATCGATCTTCGACATTTCATGCATTTTGTATGAATATAAATTTCCATGCTCCCTTTATTTCGCTTATTTTTTTCATAAAAACGATCCAACTCTTTGAAATGGATTTACTACGCGTGATTACAAAAAGAAAAGATAACACAAAGATTTCAGAAATTCAGAAAAACATTGTCCGAACAAATCAAAATTATCGTTTTTCGAATCTTACTATCTCTTCGTTATCGTCTCGTATTTGAAACGATATCGGTTTTCAAGGGGAGCATCTTGATTAAAAATCGATCGTCTTTTACTCACATTCTATATTTGAAAGACGAGAATGGTGAATCTCGAAATTGCGGCGAATTCGATTTCCGAAATCCGAAACGCGTTCCGTCCGTATCGAACGACGTAGATCGACTACGAAAATTCGAAGGAAAGATTTGTTTTGAATTTGTACGCGTCCTTCTCTACGTTTCTCCCCACCACGGTTTATTCAACCGAGAGGCAAATTACAAACCTAAGGGTATTTCGTTACTCGATTGAATGTTTATGTTGGCTAACAATGCTCGAGGACAGTGGTCATGGTATACCAATTTTGTTGACATCGTTCTCGTACGGTTTCAAACGAACGCTCGCACCGCGATAAATTTTTCGATTAAAAAATAAATAAATCGGTCGGTGGAAAAATAAAAATGGATTTTTTCAAATTTTAGAAATAATTCGATTTACGATTAAAAATGTTAAAAAAAACCGGGTTTTAATTTTTAATAAAAAAAGAGAATTTTACAAATATTTTATTTTTTATATCCTATTTAATCAATCGTACGGATTTTTAATGAAAAAATTTTTTTAATTGTTATAATTTTTTTTAAAATGTATATATTTTGAATAGAAATCTATTTATATTTTATTTAAAAAAATAAATTATAAATTTGACTTCCGGTGTGCGACGAACGAATCTTTAAAACGCTTTTTGAATTCTCTCGATACAAAATTCCCGAAATATCGTTGCGTAAAAAAAAAAAAAAAAAAAAAAATTTT